CCATCTCCAATGCCTTCGCGCACTATCTACTGCTTTCAAACATCGCATGGAAGACAAAGCTCCTGAATTTATCAGAACGTTTTGAGGCCATATATTATCCGAATGATAAATGTGCTAGCCAACAACCGTGGCTACTGAACCAAGACAATAGAAATTATTTTTTTCTAGCAAATGGCCTGTGTCAACTGGGTCCAACGTATTCTATTACGCAAGTCGTCGGATGAGCCTGCGTGAGAGTTCAAGCGTTTCTTCGTCTCAGCTGAGAGAGAAGGGTTTTGCAACTTGTCACTACCAAAGATGAGACATCTGGTTAGGAGCTCGGCAGCTGAATGACATTTCTCTTCCTTATCGAAATAACTGATGACTACTTCTCATAAGCCGTCACCTTCTATACTCGGAGCGCCCCCTCGCGACACCGCAACACTCCGCACTTGATACGACACCCATCGTATCATCGTAAAAATTGGCTGGACATGGAAGATCTTTGTACACGCCGCCCTTTTCCGGAGGTCATCCATGAAGTCGTTATTTTTACGGCTTTTGAAAAGGGTCTGTCGCTTTTGTAGCGATAAAGGCTCACATCTCCTGGCTAGTATTCGCCTCCTTTGACAAAAATTTAGTGGCACCTGGCACGCCTGATGAGGCGGCGCGAGCATCCGCTAGAAAGCTCACTTCAAATGCCTTATGATGAATTGCCTCTCTGTAAAAGCGATGCATCTGAATGCCCATTAGCGCGCGACCAATTAGCTTGGAGACCGCATGCGCAACGCGCTGTCGTTATGTCAAGACAAATATAAAATAATTAAGGACTTGATCTAAATGTTACTATGTTCAATATTTGTATTGCTTGACGTAAGACGTAAGGCTAATAGATATCTCTTCTTCAGGGCGTTTCGTCGTCTTCATTAGTACCAATAAATTAGTGCTCACAAGTTTTTCACATCACGCGAAAAGTTTGTGCAATTGTACAAAATGTACTCCACGAAATATAAGATGACTCGCAGATTAATACGTACAGTACCCTACTTCACTTCCGACTCGGTCGTCAGATTGGTGGCAAATGTCTCGACTCTCAGATAAATTTCAGCTATAGTGATACTAAATATTTATTTGTTATATAGAATCCTTGATAACGCTTTGCGTAACAAAATATTAGAGAATCACCCTCAATCGAGTGGTAGGTAAACAGTTTGGATTGACTTCTGCATCGCCTTGATTATGATGACAGTCATCAGATCGATTCGACACAGTATTCGTCAAGCTCCCGTTAAATACGCTATGTTGAAATGCATCCGTAAGGCGACCATAATCGGATACATCTTTTATATGATCCCTGATGAAGTCGCTGATTTATGTTTGACTGCTTCTTGATCAAAGCTTTAGCAGTCTTGACCAAGCTACGCCTGCAGCATGAATACCTTAACACGAATGATCTCAAGGGTGACGACGGTATACTTCATAATCAATCTCTTACAGAAAAAGGCGTAAATCAGGTATCCATTCACAGTTGCACAATAAGAGTATCGTACTATCTATTTGTGAAAAGGTTGCTTGAATACAACTGCAATCCGATCCTCCACCAGAGGCTTACTCCACTTCTGGCCGTCATGACAAGCTTCTTCATCGATCCCAAAGATCTCCCCGACGACAGTTTCGGCCTAATTCAAGTTCTATTCCTGGGTGTCGTCTATGGCTATGTGCTTTTTAACGCGAGCAATCTCATTTCGGATGGTAGCGAGTTACTCTTGCTAGTGCCATCCATGGCTGGTATCGTAGGCAGTGTCGTGCTGCCTGTGCTAGGTGCCGTACCTGACGGTGCTATCGTACTTTTTTCTGGAATGGGCCCAGATGCACAGCAGCAAGTCTCTGTGGGCGTGGGCGCGCTTGCTGGATCTACCATCATGTTACTCACCATTCCCTGGGCACTAAGCGTCTACGCTGGTCGCGTCAACATCGATGAGAACGGTCGTGGTAACTATGTGCGTCCAAAGGGCGATCAACACTGGGCTAAGCTCACACCACCAGGAAATAAAAGTCTCACTAAGACAGGCATTATACTTTTTGACGAAATTCCGTCAACAGCCAGAATGATGATTTGCACGGCCATGATCTACCTCATCTTGCAGCTACCCGCTCTCTTTTACACCGGAACAATTGCAAAAGACGCTCATGCTGACAACACTAAGGTGGCCAAGGCCGAAAGACCTTTCGCCATCGTTGCTTTTGTCATTTCAATGATCTCCTTTATACTCTATCTATACTGGAATGTGCAACGCTCCTCAGAGGTCAAAGATGACATTATTGATGAGGTACGTGTCGCCGCTATTCGTGACGGAGAAATTAGTCTTTCGGGTATTTTGGCCAAGGAAGTAGCGAAGTTCAAGACTGAAGCGCCAGATAATACAACACCACTTAATGCTACTCGCGAACAATTTGACCGTGTTGCAGACGTCATTCGTCCATTTTTCCACGCCTACGACAGAAATCGTGACCGCCGTATGGATGCTGACGAGCTGCAGCTATTTTTCAAAGATTTGGGTGAAAGCGTGTCGCGTGAAGAGGCAGCAAAGTGGATGGCTGCTGCTGACAAGGACAAAAGCGGATATATTGAGTTTAATGAGCTCGTCGAAGCCACGCTTCGCTATATGCTGGCTAGATACGAAAATGAAAAGCATGGCAACGCTTTTGTCTCAATGCAGCGTGTTGTGGTGGAACAGCAGCACTCGCTGGCTATCCCACCAGCTGAAGATGATGAAGATGAAGAGGAGGAGGAAATTCCGGAAGATCTTGCTCACCTATCCATTGCCGACCAGCAGAAAAAGATCAAGATTCGATCAGCCTACATGATGTTCCTCGGTACAGCTCTTGTGCTCCTGTTTTCGGACCCAATGGTTGATGTGCTGTCTGAAGTTGGTGCTCGCACGGGCATTCCTGCTTTTTATGTGTCGTTCGTGGTGGCTCCATTGGCTTCAAATGCCAGTGAGCTAATTGCTGCATTCAACTATGCGCAAAAAAAGACGTCGAAAACTATTTCCATATCAATTTCGGCTCTTCTTGGCGCTGCTTGTATGAACAATACGTTTTGTCTAGGCATTTTTGCAGCGCTCATGTCATTTAAAAGCGGTGGTTTGGTGTGGGAGTTTACTGCTGAGACGTTCTCAATCCTGTTTGTGGAGCTCGCAATTGGCTTTATCGCAATGAAAAAGACTCAACGCCTGCTTGATGCCCTGATTGTGCTTCTACTATATCCGACATCCATCTTCCTTGTCTTTTTTTTAGAAAATGTGCTCGGCCTGGATTAAAATTTGCTTCTGACAGAACTAAATTTGGAATGATGTTAACCTGCCCATGTTTGTCATTTTCTTGATTTTAAATATATTCGTGAGTAATGTTTATCTCTCAAATCGCATACCCCGGTCAGATCGATCGACTCGATGCTAGCGACTTGGGGGCGGAACATGTGTATCTACGAGTAACGTCTAGTTGCGCGTCTGAAGTCTGATCAGAAGTAGTACGCGGGGCAATATTTATTTGATTTGCTTGACGTTGTTGTTGTCTACCCGTACATGCACCGTTGCAATCACAACCGCATTCTCCACGTTCGCTGTGAGCACAATTTTTGCCTGTCCCAATTTACATATCACGAACATTACCTTCCCATTATTTCATTTCTATACCGGTGATAAACCTGGATTTTACCGATTACTAACACATGTCCAACTACATTCCTGGATTGTCGGGTCGTGACTGACTTTTCTTTTGTACAGTCCAAACCGTTTACACAAGAAAACTAGCCAACAACCATGACGGAGGCTTTTATGGGTTACAGCGAAGACTTTGAGCAATGCCGTGATGAAGCCATGGAGGACATTCGCTCTATAACTAAGGCGGACAATGAGCGTGAGCGTAACGAACTGGTCGAGCGTGCACAGGGCAATATTTCTGAGGCTGAACGTTACATGCGTATCCTCGAGAGCGAGTCACGCGCTGGAGACTCACAAGACCGCAGACGAATGCATCAGCAATTGCGCACTTTCAAATCGCAACTGGACAAGCTCAAGTCGAATCTTGAGCGCTCAAAACTCATGGAAGGTAGTCAACAGCGCCAACAGGCTTCCGCCCCGCAAGACAATGTGGCCCGCTACCATCAGCGCACGGAACGAATTGAAGACCACCTTGGCGACGCTCAGGCTATCATCGCGCAGACTGAAGCCACAGCCCAAAATATTAATCGTAATCTTGCAGATCAGCGCGAACATCTTATTAACGTCCGCACGAATGTACGTAGTAATGATCTCACTAATGTTATTGCTAAGAAACAAGCCTGACTCTTTTGTATATTGTTATGTAGGTTGACGCAACGCGCGAAGACACAGCAGAAGCAGCCATGCATCTAAAGAAGCTTAAGTGCAAGATGGCATCGCAGATTGTATTCTTGTACCTCGTCATCTTGGGCCTTATCGTGGTGATCATCTGGCAGGTCATTTCCAAGTTTGTGTAATTGCCGTAACAGAAATGTAAAGGTTTCGAGATAGGTGACTGATTGAAAGTTATCCACTCATCCGTTATGACATAAAAATTTGAGTGTACTGGTAACTTAAAACAAGGTGATCACTTTTGTAAAAAATTTTGCCGGTTTCTCGAAACATGTCCACACTCCAGTTAATAATAGGATGAAAAATAACGCCGAATATGCTACTATGATCTTCGAACAGTAAGATTTAGCTAGAAAAGGTCATCATGAGTGAGGTTCGGCTCCCTGACTCAATTGCTTGCACCTCTGAAGAGCAAAATACATACACACTTTCAAAAATTGCGACAGCAAATTCAAATCTACTGCAATCTGGTCAAATTCTGGCCATAGGTAATAGCCTTGCAAAAGTAGTACCTGCGTTGGAAAGCAACAAACAACAGTCAAGAGTTTTGAAGACGATGCGTTCAAAGTGTGAGGATTTGCCGCGAACACTGGATGGTTTGCTGCTTTTAAAATTGTGTCGAGGTAGATGGTTTAGTCTTTTGCAATTCACACATTCATATAGACTCACAAATTGTCTTGTTTTATAGTTGAATTTCCTGACGAGGTTGTAGAAGCTATGATAAGCGATATGCATATAACAGATGTCGTTGCTGAAGATTTGCTCTCTTTCACAAAGTTGACACGATTAGACATGAGCGACAACAAGGTTGGAAATTCTCCTGTTTATACATCAATAATATGGTCATAATCATACGAAAGCTGGTTTAGACCTCATTGGAACCATTTGGTTGTCTCCCAGCACTTGTGGAGCTGGACATTCAGTGTAATGCGATCAAAGAGGTCACAATCGAGAATGGGTTTCAGAATCTAGAGGTATTTGAGACGCGGTATTGCTACCTAAATCTTAAGATGATAGTGATGCACGATAATTTTTTTTCGTAGGTGTTAAATTTATCTTATAATTGCCTTCGTTCAAAAGATGTCCAAGTTATATCAAAGATGCAGCGTATCCGAGAGCTTTACCTCGGAAGCAATCAAATTTGTTCCGTACCCCCCATGATGGATCACTTTTCACGTCTTGAGATATTGTCGCTGGAAAGTAACAATATCTCCGGTCAAGAAATCTTTTCGATGCTAAGCATAATGCCTCGCTTGCTAGATCTAAATCTCAGCTACAATCAAATTACTGGTTTTCCAGAGGTGAGCACCCCGTTTAGATGATAAATACTGAGATTGGAGGTGTTGATTCTTGGTTGCCTACGCCAGTCTGCACTGACAACCGAAAACACTTGTGGTACTGGATTCTATAATCTTGTTTATCTTAACCTGGCGCACAATACCATTATGAACGAAGAGGCAATAATTCACACAAGCAAGCTGCGCAGCTTGCGTAAACTTATTCTGTATGGCAATCCCTTGGCACATGCCGCCATCACTCCCTACGACTCTACCAAGCTCGCGTATGATCCTGTACCAAACCTGACAAGACTTTTCAACGAGAGGACAACGGATCAAATTGCGACGACAATTGTGAGTGCATACCCCGACACAAAGAAAAAAAAACTGCATTCCATGTCGTGTTATGAACACGTTGAGATTTACAAAATTATTCCAAATGAGGTAGTCTTTCAATCTCCATTTCGTACACGAGCGACGGAGATCATTGAGGCAGATTTTTTTAAAAGGAAAATGCCACCGTCAAAGCAGCAGGTATGTAACTTTTGTTGACAGAAAGCAAAAGTATACCTGACATCATATCGTAATGGCGATGGAGTAGTCTAGCTTTTCACCAACACCTACGAGAAAGCGTGCGTCACCATAAGATACATCATAAATTGTATTCAATTCATTAATAATTTTTGATTGCAGAACTGAAATCCAAAATCAATGACTCCACATTTATGACAGGAGTTGGCATTGAAGATATTTTGTTGGGTGCTGGACCATCAACTGAGGTGAGGCAGGTTTTCTACTGTGCAAATGCGTCAATTTCTGATTTACGAATACTGCTGAACAGCTTCCAGCTGTTCCAGCCTCTGTTGTCGCGCGATCATTGGCGATGGATTCAAAAGTATGATAAGTCTTTTAATTCTATGCAATTTCCGACAAATTTTGCTCTTGGTGTTGCAGAAATATCCTGCTTTGAACACACGAATGGCCATTAACGCTCTTCGATATCAGCTTGATCATCCTTTGACTTCTCATGACGATAACCTGCTTTGTTTAGCGCATTCTCAGCAGCTCACTCAGACTTCCCTGGTACGTACAAATTCAAAACTCATATAACTTGATTTGTAAGAAACAATCTTTGTTCGAAGCAACGAAAGCATCCGCGACGGCCACTCCCGCAACGAAAAGAATCGCAAATATTACCAAATCATCACCGGAACAGCAGTCATTCGAAACTGAAAGGTGAATTCTGCTTTTTGTGCAGCAAGTTGAAGGATCAACATTTTGACAACAACACATTTAGATTATCAGAGTGTAGATGACGCTTTGACAAAAGTCAACTATCAAGTCTCAAGCACATCGGCCAGACGGCCAAGTACGTATGACCCTCTTGCCACGTTCCTGACGCACCGTCCTGACTTATGCTTTAGGATTGACAGATAGTACCGAACAAGGAGTTGACAAAGCGCTTGATTCTCTCATTACGACAGCTAAGAAGCTGAATTTGACTTATAATCACTCGCCATAGGGCATTGACTAACTTTTACAAGCATGTAGAACGAAAATGCAACAAACATTATCTCTATTATTTAGAAAAGCATTAATCTCAAGGTGTTGAGCCACAGAATGCTTATACAGTAGTTAAAGAGGTCACTCTTTATGTAGCCTTGTAATGGGTCAATCGGTATAATAAAACACGCCCTCGAGCGTTTCCGACTGCAAAGTAGCCACTATTTGGACTGAAGTCCATGGCCGACACGTAATGTAGCGGCGTGTGTGCCGTTGGCCAGTTGGGAAATACAGTCAGTGATGGCATATGTACCATCTTCAGCGAGTCCTTAATGTCAGTAGAAGCCATTGCTAAAATCTCAGAACTGGGATTGAATTTAAGATGGTCAACTTGAGTTGTGAGGTGCATCAACGCTTTGCATGGCTTGGGCTTGGCTGTTAGACCAGCATTATCGTAAATGTTGACCACACCGCTCTTTGATCCGGCGGCGTAGTATTTACCGCTGGCTGCCAGGGCGTGATTACAAAGACTGCCTTCATCGTCATGAACGAAAATACACCGCCGTGTACGCATGTCCCATTTGTAAATCTGTCCGTCTGATCCTGTACTGAGCAAAAAGCGGTCATTTTCACAAAAAACCGCAGAGTTGACACTGCCGTTCATTTTGAGGGTGCCGATCGACTCGTACGACTTCGCCGATACTATATCCAAGTAGCCATTGCTTCCTAAAAACACTATCGTATCTCCACTGTTAGAAACGGCAAATTTTTCACGCTTTCTCTCCTTGCGCCCATAAAGGCCTGGGATCTTGGTAATTTTGCCAGCTTGAATGTCGTAGGAGAAATAATACTGCCGAGGTCCAGTTAGAATCGCACGATCTCCACCAAGCGTGAACTTTGCGTCCAACATGGGAAGATCCTGTACAAAAACTTTTTCAATATTTGCGTTGTTGCTACCGTCCACCTGAAAGAGACAAAACGTCTTGTCTAGACCTGCTGTGAGCAAAATCTGTCCGTTGGGATGAAACTGTACCGATTGGATCACGGCATTAGATGGCGCGTGCTGGTTCGCATCTTTCATACGAATAACGTCCAGCGAGCCCTGAGGCAGCATCTCACCCGATTCCTCCAACAGTTTGCTCGTGCTTCGAAAAAGATCAGCCTCCTCTTCATTGTCACTATCATCTGGAACATTCTGATGGTCACTTAGAAATTTGGTGGGGTCAGCCCATGATATGGCACCATGCGCTGCTTGATAGCTACAATGTCACCAATAAGTTCAACGTCTAGTGCTAGGGCAAATAGATTGCACGTACAAAGTCTTGAGGCGACGTTTGAGCTCTGGACCATCAACAATTGTGTCCTCTTCAGTTTCGCGAAGCTTACGTAGTTGCGGCTGCTCCTTTAAATTCACCACCACGTCCTCATCGTCATCGTCTACCCACGCGGCTTTAAACTTCTGTTTGGTATTGTCTTGCTCGCTTTTACTTTGATGTAAACGTTTGCGTCTATTGTCCTTGAAATTTGGATTTGTCAAGAAGACTTCTTCAGTCAGAAGCTTCTCTGCTTTGGTTACTGGTGCCATGATGGAAACTTGTATGGTGACAGGCATTCTGTACCTGTTATCCGGCGCATTTTTCTGCTACTTCAAACGTAACAATAAGGCGGTATTGGGAGAGGCGACAGCTAAATTTGATAGAAGGTTCAGTAGATTTTGACCCTTCGATTGTAGGACACGCAACACAGCGATTTAATTCGATCTCAGTATTGAAAACGGACGGTGAAGTACAAGTCTTCTGTTCCAGTGCCGCCCACCATATACAGGTTCTTGTACTTATAAGCTAGAGAAAAACATACCATCTAGCTTGAATGACGTATCGAGCAGTGGCTTCGGAGCAATTCTTTCATCTTGAGAAACGCGTCAACTCGCCCCGCTCGCATTGTAACTCCCCGTCCTCAATCTCTGATGTGGATTTAGGCCGAGGTTCGACAAGTAAAGCGATGCCAGTCAGTAGCAAGGTGTGTTTTACTGTCTGATTCGGGGAGTTTTCCGAAGGAAGGTCATTGATTATGAATTTGATTGTTTGAGGGTTTTAGCCCGATAGCACGGACGCAGTTCAAGGGGATAAGGTTGAGTCTCAGGATGGTATGCCTGCCTTGCGATCAACATCAGATTCTTTTGATGTTAATGAGGCTTTTGCGCATCCTGTGAGCAGCTCGCAGTCTCGCAAGCGCAAAGCTGATTCAGAAAGTGAGAGTGAGAGATATGAAGAGATCAAGAAGGTTAAGGCAGAGAAGCAACAACTTACGCCTGCTGAAGCAGATAGTGACTATCTGCCTACCGACATTGACGAAGATGAAGAGGATAATTTGCTTGAGTACTCCGAGTCTTCCTTAAATCGTGATAGGGTTGCTGATGGATGTTCTGCTGGATATGTTGCAATGGACTCAGCTGCTAATTTTGAATGTGACAGTGAGTTGCCACGTAGTCATAGCCGCCGCACGCTCTACATCGAGTACTGGAGTCGGACAGATGAGTGTAAGGAGCGAAAGTGGGACCATCTAGACGATATTGCCGAGAATTTTGGATCTGCTGAGGAACACATCTTCGCTACAACTTTAAAGGGTAGGACTGCGTTCCTAGAACCCAATATGTTTCCCTATGACACTCCTGCAGGCATCGAGCACTGGACATTGTGGCACATCAAGGACCTGAATCATGAACTCGTGAAACAGTACGTGGAGAGCTGGATTGATGCCAACGCACCACATGTAGAGCGGTGGAACTACGACGATAATCCTGAAAGGTCTATCGATATTTTTCACGTACACGTGTACTTTCAGGTGGCGAAGGGTCGCACGGTTCTACTGGATCGGAAGGTGGAGGATTTGGCACACGAATTAATCTGACTCGCTCATTCTCATTTGCTGCAGAGTTTAGGGTGAGGCGATGCGCTGGTCCAGCCCAAGCTCATTATTTATACAGATGAGGACATCGTGTCGAGCTAGGTAAGGCGAGGTTATCTTGACTCCACTTGAAGATGCTCTGTCAAGATGAGGCGAGGTTATCTCAACAGAGCATCTTCAAGCGGGGTTTGCTGCACCTATGAATATAAATTTGATTTATTACCAAAGTATACTCGTGTAGTTATCTGATTGCGATAATTAGTAGAAGAGACAAATAGGTGTTAGTTGTTGAGGCTAAGATCTGACGACACGTATGAACCTCACGCATAAATTGGCTGGGATAGGGTTACGGTAGAGAACCGAACACACTTCGGCTCGTGTGTGATTTACACTGAGATGTTGCTCTCGATACTTTAAACCTTTTCATCTCCCAGGGGCATCATTTCTCGTTTGCATCTTGCGGATGTCAATAGTGATTAAGTTTAGATTGGTGTTATTGATTTATAGTATCGATGTCGACATATCAAAGTCGATTTTCTAGTATAGCATTCAACATTTCGTTTGTTACTCAAGCAACACTGAAGAAGCATTGCTTCAGTCATGGACTGTTTACTCTAAAGCCACGGCACTGACGATGCTTGGGCTAAGCTTGTGCCTGCGACTGAAGTGATTCATGAATGTCAACAAATGTTCGAAAGTACCGGAGCAAGCGGTATTGCTGAGACTAGGAAATTGATCGACAATCGAACGTGGCTGAACGAACAAAAAGCTCGTACGGTATTCTTGAATTCGAGAAGATCCTCTTAACATCTCATCACGTCGTGACTATAAAAGTTGCTTGCCGCGGTAGCTTACGCGCCTATACGAACAGGCCATCCACTCACACTATAAGCGGAATAAATATCAGAAAGTTGCAATGCGAACACATCAATCACTTGTCAGGCTAACCGCTGGGTTTTAGGAAAGTGTTGAAGTCAGCAAAGTTCGTCATCCTGAAGTCAGCAAGGTTCGTCACTATGACG